GAGAGGGTACAGGGCTGAGCTTTGAAGGAGGACGGAGTTAGCCAGACACCGAGCAGAGTGAGGGCAGCTCCTGGAGCGCCAGGAAGAACATGAGAACAGGCCTCTTTCCTGACCCTTGGTCTACTGCTCTTCCTCGTCTCTCATTTTGTTTCAAAAGAAGAAAACTGGGTCTCATTCAATTCATTTTGTCTGTACCTTACATTGGGCTGATGTGCAATTACAGTGCCTGTGTCTTCTCAGAGCCTACCATGCTGCATGGCGCATAGCAGGTATTCAATCAATGTTGAATGAATGAAAGATTCCTTGTTGGGATGTGGGTCTGTACCTTCTTTTAAGAATTCTAGCTCCAGAGAATTGTTGGTTAAGAAATGTCAAACCAAGAAAAGACCTTGGGGTCATTCATTCCCAGTGAGTGCACTGTCATCAGATCCCCCTGGGCAGTTTCCCACCACCATCCAGGTGGGCATGGTGGCCAGGGTCCCAGGCCAAGGTGCTTGAGAGTCGGTGGAGAGCTGGTGGGCCCCAGAGGCAGTGGACAAAGGTGCAGCCAGAATTTTGGGAATTGAAGGGTTAATAAAACCAGATCTCAGATTGGTTCCACCTCTGGCACTAGGGGTAGCCTGACCAAGTACCCCACTCCGTGGTGTGCCGGTATTCATCTCCCAGGCCAAGGTCCCGGTCTCTGAAAACCTCAGGCAGACCCCTTCCAGGATTACGTTTTAAAGGGAAATGCAAATCACCTGGAGGCTGCTTCGTGCTTGGAAGAAGTAAAAATCGATTCTGTTTTCATTAAAGTGATTTTTGGACACTGTCAAAAGCTCTCTCATCTCAGGGCATGGGGTGACAGATAGGCTGCCAGTCTCAATTATATAACCAAGCCAACCAGGCAGCAGCGGGCCGTCTCACCAGAAGTAATGCTACTCCATGCCCTGCCCAAGCCCTAGGCCCCCTCCTTAAGATACCAAGAGAGCCTCAGTCCAATCAGCCGGAGCTGCCCTCCAGGGCCCTCGTGGATGCTGGCTCACAAGGCTTTCCTCCCGCGTGCTCCCCTCTTCCCTACACCCGAGCCGAGCTTCACCCACAGACTGGCTCCGGCAGTCTAGGCTAAGGGTGATGCCAAGCAAAGTTAAGCAAAATTAAGAAGAAAACTCTGCTTTGAAAAAGTCTACAACACACAATACATTCCCAAACTAGATACGTTGGTCTTATTTAATATTGGGAGTCCTGTGTTATCCCTTCCCTCTGTTAACCGGGATAATTGAGGATCTATTTTATTTATAGCATCAATTATGAGCACAGAAATTAATCCTTTAATGGTGCGTTTGGGAGCTCAACTGTCAAGGGGGCATAAGGGAAACCTGGGCTGGGCACAGGGGTCTCCCCTGCCAGCACAGGAGGCTGCAAAGGAAAGCCATCCTCAAGCCTTGGTGGCAGTTGGGCTGTTATTGTTCTGTGTGCTTAAGGTATTTTGAGATATTAAATAAACGGGAATAACTGGCTCCAGGAGATCCCTCCCTGGAGGACACCTGAGAAACTCGTCAGCAAGTCCTGGGAAAGCAGACAGAGATGGCAACCAGAGGCCGGGAGAGCGAACTCTTTCACTCAGTACAGCAGCGTTCGGCCTGTTGGTTAGCCCTGCTCTGCAAAGGAGCTGAAGACAGTCTCTCCAGACTGAAATAGGAACTCAGGGAAGGATTAGGGCAGGGAGGATCTAGAGACAGGAAGAGCCGAGGGTCTGCTGGGAGCTGTTGGAAGCAGCCGGACAGAACGTGGAACATGACAGAATATTGGCTTTGGTATTCCATGGCTACTTGGGGCTCAAATGCTAGTGAAGAGTAAGAAAAAGATAGGCTTTCTGGAATGGTTAACAAGCCCACAACTAGCCGGTGAATGTTCTCAGGAAAGAAACCAGCCAGGGGAAAGGAAAAGGTTTCCAAAGTTGAATTGGTAAGACCTCAAATGAGGGCAAGAAGACCCCAACAATGCTGCAGAGCATCCCAGAGGATGGACCAGACACCACGTGGAGGCTGCTCTCATCTCTCTCAGGGGCCAGGGCTGGGGCAGAGCACAAATCTTGGGTCCACCATAGAGGGAGGACAGGGAGGTGTGGAAGGGATTGAGAACAGTATCAGAGGAAGTAAATGGAAAAGGCACCCCATTCACGTTGACTCATCCATTAAAAAGCGCTTTGCCAAGCACCTGTTAGGCATAGCCAAGCAATGAGCCTTGTGATGGTTCCAACTGCTAACTCAGGTCAAAGTCAAAGTTACCTGATCCAGCATGGAATTACACCAGCCAGGGTAGAAGGGAAGAAAAAGCCTGCTTTCCTGTCACTTATCTGAGATTAAGGAAGACTCTTCTAAAGGCTTCCTTTCTTGCCCATTAGTTTCTCCTCCCAGAGGCCAGATATTTTGATGCATGGGGAAGGGCAGGGCAAGGAGTCCCCAGGGCCCACAGCCAGGGGAGCCTGCTTCTCCCATCCTTCCCTTCCTCTCTGCCTTCCTCCTCCAGCAGAGTCCTCTTGCTCCCCTTCAAGAAAGTAAATGTGAGGCCAAGACTGTCCATCCCTTGATCCTGGACTCGCCCCTTGTTCTACGGGGCGAGAGTTAAAGGACATCAGTGGTCTTTCCAGCCACACTAAAACACTGGATTTTGCTATGGGAGCAGCCACGAATTTTGAAGACATTACTTAAAGTGGGCAGAAGGAAATGTTTTATATATAAAAATCCCTGTGTGCCTAGTACAGAGCCTGACATGTAGGACTCACGGCACTGATGCTTTCTTGAATAGCGACATGACTAGAATAGACTATGACACCCCAAGCATATAATAAAAAAGGAATAACTCTGAAAGTCTGATTTCTACCTATGGGCCCAGCTGGTATGGGGCCAAGCAGAGGGGTGGTGAAAAGAGAAAGGGCACTGAAGACAGCTAGACTGGATCTGAAAATCAGCTCTGCCCCTTATCAGCTATGTGACTACAGAAATTACTTAACCTCTCTGAGCTTTGCATTCTGTATCTTCCAAGTTGTACAGCATTTTTCCTACCTTGCAGGGCTGTTGTGAAGACTTAAAGAGATAATATTTGCAAAGTGCTGAGCACACTGCTGACACATAGCAGACACACATATGCTGCTATACTAATAATAAAAAGCAATGGGCAAGTGGCCACTGAAGCCTCCATTGATCTTCTCTGAAATAATCCCATTTTAACTCCGACACCCATCCATTTGCCCATGTTCTTCCCCATGGCAGTCCTGAGGCACCACTTGGATGTCATGAGTCCCATCAAGGGGCACCTGAGGGTACTGGACAGTCAAAGCCATGTCAGAAGCGTGTCCAGGGAGGTCCTGGACATGGGTGTGGCTCCTTCAGGAAAGTGAACAGATGGCCAGGGTTGGCCTGGAAGGGGCAGTGTGCCTCCTTCTCCTGACATGGTGGCCAGCTCTCCAGCCCATTTGATCCCTAAATATCCCACTGTGCCCAAAAGCCCACGTCTGACACCTGAGCCAAGAGGACAAGGTCAGATGACCAGATATTCTTACCTATTCTGAGTGGGAGCGGTATTTGAAGAAGTGCGCATGCAAGTGTGTGTGTGTGTGTGTGTGTGTGTGTGTGTGTGTTGAATGGGAGGAAGGGGCAGGATGGCCTCCGTCAGACAGACAAGAGGTAAAGGGAATGCCCCCATCAAACGTGGCCTTCACAAATGGACAAGGACACCCCTTGCTCCTCCCTCCCGTGTGGCAGAAAGACAAATGTAATCATTTTTAAAGGTCCCCTCACTTGCTCAGTCATTCCCAATAAGCACACGCAGCACTATGGAAGAACTGAAACCAGCGCCACAGGGTTTCGGCTAGGAAAAAAAATCGACTCACCAGGATGCCACCAACCGAATTGTCAAAGACCAAATAAAAAGCTTCATGAATTCTCCATCAGCAATATAACGCTTCCTGGCCCCAACAAATATAGACCCAGCATATGAATTGTGAAGGGATTTTGCATTAGCTTCAATGACTCCCAACAGCTGAAGCAGAAGCCCCTAAGAAATACATGTCTCCAAGAGGCTGCCTCCCTCGGCTCTAATCCTGTTAGGGTGAAGATTGTAATCTCCTTCCTGAGCCCCCTTCCTCTGATGGAAAGCTTCACATCCCAGCACCATAAATACACTTCTGTGACCTCAGCTGGAGAGGGGACCTCAGGGAGATGGAAGAGACGGAGTCAGCCATGACCTCGCCGTGCGCCTCTCCCTCCCTCTGATGACATTGCTGCTTCTGTGTCTGACCACAAGACCCATTCAGACCATCTCACAATCGTCCAGGTAGGTCGGGTCATTTAATCACAGAGTTGGGCTGAGAAAGCAAGGCTGCTCCTCCTTGAGTGAGAGAAAACAAATCGGGTGCCCTGCTTTGCAGAAAACCCAAGTTGAGTCACTTAGAGAAAGTCTGCTCAGAGCTACTGAGCCCTTGAGCATCTGCGGCAGCAGAAAAGAAAAGGGAGGCAAAAGAGAAAACAGCCTGCAAATATACTATAAAGAAGAGATGAAGAGGGATCCAAAAAGAGTGTTCCCAGTGTCTTCTGTTAATGGAAATCTGTACCCTCCTTACAACGCTCACCCAACTTATAGCTGTCTTCCTCCCCGCCTGCTGCCCTGTTTATCTCCTTGTGGCAGCCCTTATATGCACAGATACATATAAAAATGCAGCAATCACCACTCACCCCCACACACACATACACAGAATGCATGGCTGAAAAAAGAAACGGTGACAAGTTTCCATGTTTCATAAAATACACGGCCCTCTCCAAAAAGAAAGCTCAATGCAGAGCAAGCCTCTACTCCCAAAGTAATCACTCACGCACCTTCCTCTTCCGATGAGGCAACTTCCCTTGCTCCCACAGCCCAGGTAAGTGACTCCATCCCCCTCTGCCCAATCCTGATACCATCCAGGGCTTCGCCCTCTGATCCAGCCTCCGCCCTTCTCCAGGCCACCAGCATGGACTTACCCCAATGTGGTCATGGTGACAATGGTGTACCAAAAAGAAGCAGGGATGCTCGTGAACTTGCTGGCAGAGGAGCCCTTCTCAGCATAAAACATCACAGTGGCAAAGATGATGATGGCCATGGTGAGGGAGAAGAGGAGAAAGCCGAGTTCAGAGGCACAGCTCTTGAGTGTGTAGCCCAGGATCCGCAAGCCCTGGGAGTGGCGGGAGAACTTGAAGATCCTGAAAACGCGGAAGACCCGGAGCGTGACAAAGGCACCGGACACGTCCTCGTTGTTGGTCATGACCAGGCCAATGTAATAGGGCATGATGGCCACCACGTCGATGATGCTCATCACGCTGCGGATGAAGCGGTAACGGCTAGGCGCCGCGAAGAGCCGGAGCAGATACTCCACGGTGAAGATCATCACGCAGGCAGTGTCCAGGCAAAAGAAGGCCACCGAGTAGCGCTCGCCGCACGGCAGCTCCTTGCTCCCAGGCACCGTGCCGCACGGCACCGTCTCCACCACGTTGGTGATGACCGAGACGGCGATGAAGAAGCCAGTCACGTAGTAGAAGACCAAGGCCAGGGTGCTGGTGTGCGGGTTCTCGAAGGCCCGCCACATGGTCTGGCGGAAGCTGAGCGAGGGCATGGACTCCTGGTTGTTCTCCGAGTCGTTGTCGTCCATGAGCCGCTCGGCATTCTCCCTCTTGCGGTCCTTGTACTCCTCATAACAGCAGTCTCCGATGATCTCGGGGAGGATGCCGTAGAAAGCCAGCTCGTCGTCGTAGGCGGAGATGCACTCGTAGCGTGGGTAGTGCAGCTTTCCTGTGCGGTAGAAGTTGAGGACACAGCGGAACACTTCTGGGTCCCGGTCAAAGAAGTACTCCTTGGTGTCCTCGTTGAAGAAGAACTCCTTCTCCGTGCTGCCCAGCAGCGTGTCGGGGTAGCGCTCCAGTGTGGTCCGCCAGGTCTGGAACCTCCGCCCGCTCACGTTGAGGACGATCAGTTCATCCTGCCGCTTGTTCTTGTCCGCGGGGGCAAGGGGCATGGGGCAGTTGGCCACCGGCATCCAACCAATGGCCGCAGCCCGCGCAAAAGGCAGCCAGGCTGCAACTCCCGCCGCCATGGTGACTCCAGCTCTCGGGCCGGCCACTGCTCAGATACTTTGCACACCAGCTTGGAGTTAGTTCAGCGACCCCTGGGGGACAAGAGGAGAGAGCAGAGAGCTGGGTGAGTCCATGATAGACTCCCAGGTAGGAAGTGGGACATAAGGAAGGGTCATTGGTGAGTGAAACAGGAAAAGTCCTGAAGGCAAATTAATTAAACTGAAGTCATCACCAAAGAGAAGGGACTTGATTCTTTTGCCTCTCCTGGTAGGGAGGGCACTCAGCACCAGGCAGTGCAACAGTGGGGGATCACCAGATGTTGCTGACTGCCTGACAAATTGTCAAGTTCCAAGAAGGCTCAGGGGCATTTGGAGGGAAAGCCTCTTTAGCGGGAAGATCTGGGGAGACGCGGGCAATAATCAGCTCTGAAAGGTTATGGCGTTATTACGAATTTAAATTGGGAGAGGGCAAATGAGTTCTCATTAAATGAATTTAAAAGTGGGATAAACATGCTAATTTTTATTTTGCTCTTCACCCACCAGGGTAATCAGGAATGGGGTGTGGATGAGGGAGATCACGTAAACACATTCCTTCGACTCCTCACTGGTGAGGAAGAAGCTGGGGCTACCCATGTTTGGAAAATTCTCTGAGATGGCAGGTGACCACAGTAGGCCGAGGGCTTGGTGGAGTTCTGCCCTCAAGTCCCATGGTGAAGGCTGTCCTGGTGGAGTGCTACTCTCTGGGACATCTGGCAACCTAGCGTCCCATCAGGGCCCTCAGATAGAAAGATGACATCTCTGATAGAAAGATATGGGAGAGGTTGTGAGGCTAGGCAGTGTACCTTCCCCACACTGTATAGGGAGTCTCGGATTCACCTGCCTTCTGTGCATTGTCCCTCTCCCTCCCAGAGGAAGTTGATCCACGCTCACTGCCGTCTCCAGATTCTTTGCCTCGCGTCTCCATCTGCCCACCATCCATAGCTCCCTCGGGTTACATAACAATACTCTTTCTCATGCCAGCCCCTTTCACCTGGCCCCGCTCCACCCTTGGAGGTTCCTCCAGAGCTGGGCCACCGTGTCCCTCCGCCCACCACGCCTTGACTGAGCCACGCCGTGTACACACCTCCCCATCACCTGCATGGATGGAGAGAACAGTGACACAGAGAATTATTTTTGGCTCTGGGAAACAGATTTACCTCCCCAAATCTGGCTTTTTAAAGATGATAGTGAAATGACTCTGAATCCCCAAATGTATACCATCTGTGGGAAGACATGTGGTGACACAGAAACATACGTAACAGCAACGGGAAATTGTTTGGGGTTGACACACTCATTTGCACCAATCCTAAATGGACCACCCAGAACCAGTCCTACCTCTGGATTATTTGGATCCTCCGGAATTCAGTGGATTTGACTCTATGTTTAAATAAATGAGGCAGAGGTGAGTCTTGTAATGGGATTTGATCTTCGTCTTTCCCCATAAACCTGCTTCCTTCTCCTGACTCCCAGCTCTTCTAGGCTGTTCAGATCCCTACCTCCTCTCATTCCTGAGCCATCCCTGGACCTTCCCACTTGGATGCCTCTGAAACTGGACAGATTTAAACTGAATCTACCTCCTTGCAAAAAGCTGCTCTTCTCCTTTTGCTCATGCATCCCTAACCTCAGGCCTGTCCCTTTGGCCATCTTCCTCACTGCTTCACCCAAAGAGTTGCCAAATAATGAGACAATTGCCTCATCAAGGCGCGAAATCCCTCAGGCCTCCTTCCCACTGGTCTGCTTGTCTTTCATCCCACTCCCCAACCCTGTTTCTCCTATTCCCCAGAAACCCTTTCTGCTCAGAGTAATCGCCCTAAAGCATGGTTCTGACTGCTTTACCCCACAGCCTACAAAGTCAAGTCCAAACTCTTTGGCCTGGCATTTCAGCATTTGCACAAATGGATCCCAGCTTACCCCTGCAGCCAAATGTCCCATGCACCCATCCAAGCCCCCAGCAACAGACCACAGACGGGCCCCTGCACAGACCTTGTGGGGGGTGTCTCTGAGTACTCTTCCCTCTGCTGGGAATATCCTCCTGTAAGAGCTCCACTGTTCCTCACCCTCTCTGTGATGCCCCCTTCTCCCCACTAAGGAATTCTCCCCTCCTTTGGGCTCTCAGCACATTGTGTGCCCCTCTTCTCTAGCACCCGTCACCCTCTAGCCTGGATCACAGACAGTTCCTACATGTCTTACTAATAACCATGTCAAACAATAACTGAGCAGTTACTCTGTGCCAGCCACAGCACTCACTGTCTCTGTGGATCATCTCACATAACCTTCACAGCAACCCAAGGAAGAAGTCTGAAATTCAGCAGTCTGCCAGCCAGAAAGGGGTGAAACAGGGATCCCACCCCAGACAGTCTGACCCCACACCATATGCCCTGCAGCACTGGGCTGCACTACTTCTCAAGGCCTTCCTGCAAATACAAGAAGAGCAGCTGATGATTACTGAGGGCTGACCGTGTGCCAGGCACAGCACCACCTGCTTACGTGGACCATCTCAACTGACCCCATCGACAACCCCAGGGGCTAGACACCACTGTGGTTCCCGTTTTGCAGACAAGGAAGATGAAGCATGAGGAGTTGTAATAACTAGCTAAAGGATGTAATAAGTAGGCAGAGAGACTTCAACCCAGGCAGTCTCAATATGGAGTTCAGGGGTACAGTTCTGTGTTCCCCATCCCACACTAAGCTCCTTAAGAGCAGAGGACATGACACCTCAATTTTTATATAACAACCCAGGAGGGAGCAGAGTGCCTTGCATCAGTAGGTGCTTAAACTGGAAGCCCTGATTTTATAGACACCATTCATACCCCATCGGCTTCACTCCCTGCCTCGCTAATGAATTTCAGGAGTTTTCAAGAGTGGGCATTCTCTCCACACAGACAGTAAACTCTAAAGACAGCTCTGGATCGAAAGAAGCCAATTGAAGTGCCTCCGATGCACCGTGCTCTCAGTTGAGTTTTCTGAGGGAGCCTGTCTCTGCCTCAGTTTCCTCATCTCCATTCTAAGGAGAATATTCACAGGTCCCTCTGCTCCCTCACACAGGGAGTTGAATCAGATGCCACAGAAGACAAAAGGAATAGCAATGGCATTCCATATAAATGTCACCACTCAGAGAACAGAAAAAAAGCACAGGCCTGATGAGCTCTTGATTACAGGAACCGAGGAGAGAACAGGGTTCACCCATGGTGGTGGGTAATCCACATGCCGCTGGGAGAAGATCTGGGAATATCCTGTGTATTTTGTATCTTTCCTCAAGATATGTACCTTTATAACTTCCTAGACTTCCTTCGGCTTACTAGAATTTGCAGCCCCTCGGCACACAAGGAGCAAGGTAAGTTTGGGAAGCAAGCCCACAATTTAAACATCGGTCACAGATAATTCCCAGTTCAGCTTTAGTGAACTTTTACTGACAACGCTCTGGGCATTGTTTTAGGTACTTTTACAGCAACACTTAATTTATCCCTACAAAAGTCTCATGACGTGGACATTTCTGCCCACAAGTTTCGGATAAGGAGCTGAGACTCAGAAAGCTTCCTTCAAAGCGGCTAAAGTCCATATACATAGGAGTTGATGCTTTTCCAATGGACCATTGATCAGCTCACTGCCAAAGAGCTTTCCTGACCTAGGTGTAGCCAAATATTGATGTTCCGCACAGAAGAGAGCAGGATACAGACTCCCCTCGCCCCATCCCCAGGCAGCAAAGAGCACGGAGTCAGGAGGCCCTGGATTCCAGTTTCAATCGTCTCCTGAATTTGTGAAAGCAAGCCACCATTACTCTCTGGGCCTCAGAATCCTCATCTGTAAAATGAGAGAATTGGACGAGACAGTGAGGAGTCCTTCAGCTCAAATAATCCTTGATTCTACTTGATCCAGGACATCAAGGCTCACGTCTCACTGAGACCTCTTCATGACAGTCACCCAAGCAAAGCAGGAAGCAGAGCATTCGGGTTTGTTGCTGTGGGGACTGAGGTAGCCTGAGCCTCCTCTTAGCAAAGAGAATTCTGGGAGTTCCTGATGAGACTTGTACCCAGAACAGGGAACACAACCTGCACCACTCAGAACTTAAGACAATCTCAGGCTGGGTTCACCCACAGAACCCCAGGTCACCCCCCGGGAGGGTAAAGGGGGCCAGGCTCCCAGACCCTGGGCCCTGGACCTCTGAACCTCAACATCACTGCTTTACCCCAGAATAGAGCTCAGAGAGGCAGGACCTTGAGGGAGCACAAGTGGCAAAGAGTAAGAGACTACTGAGTCAGGAGGACACTGAAGCCCCCTGCTTGGGCCAGACATGCAGCTCTGCACCCTGCAAGGACAATGCCCTTCCCTTCCACTCTCCCACTGCTGCTCCACCCTCACTCCCACGCCTCCATCCTGGTACCTGTCCCTGCCAAGCTGAGCCCCACCACCTCCCCTCTCCACGCCACACCAATCTCCCCTTCTCCAAGGGCCATGGGTATTTTACAGACAGCTTTCAGATGACTAACTGAGAGATGAGGAAGAAAAAACAATAACTCTATCTATCATAAAAGCCTCTGGTCCCAAGGCCAATCCTCCATCCCATGCATTAATCCAGGACAAATCTTCCCAAAGAAGGCCAAGCAAGAGCCAGACTGACTCCAGAAGCTCAAGCCCTGTTACCCTGGTAAAAGGTACCAAAAGGAGCAATTACCCCACTGCTTCTTTCTGTGTGCCTGTGTGTGTGTGTGCACGTGTGTGTGTGTGTCTGGGTTTGGAAGGAGAGGAAGGGTGTCTCCCCAGGTTCCATGTCCAAGACCACACCATCGCACCCTCCACACAGCCCAGCAGGCATGACCTGGCTCAGGTAGAGCTTCACCGGGGCTCTCACCACAGCACCCCCACCACCCCCCTGCCCCAGGCACCAACACCTCCTGGAGCCGACCTGGGTATGAATTCCTGCAACAGGCACAACAGTGCGGCCCCATTTCCAGCCAATGGCACGGCACATGCCTCAAATGCCAAGGTTTTACTAGGACGTGGACGCCTTACAAATGAAAAATCTGAAGCTATTTTTGTTTTTGGCAGAAGAGTTTGACAGTGGGAAAGATGGGGGTGGGGGGAAGCTAGGGAAGAGACATTTAAAACAGGTGAGTGCTGAAATGACAAAGGCGAAACATCCCTGAAAAGGGAAATAGATTTTCCCACTGGAAAAACTCAGCGCCGTGAAGCAGCTTCTGTTTGGGAGATAGAGGGCCAAAAGTGGGCAAAGTGACCAGACAGCCCATCCTGGGGATTGACACCTAACCTGAGCACAGGCACAAGGCAGCAACAAACGTCAGGTCACCAAGGTCTGCCCTTTGATGATCTCCGCAGAGTGCTGGGTGTGCAGAGTCTCCAGAAACTTTTACTTTCCATAATTTCACATCAAATCGCTTAGCCCAGAATGGGGCCAGTCTGGGGGGAGGGGAGGGACCTGACAGTCAACAGGGCCTTCTCCTGTGCCCAGAGGGTTTGGGTAGACAGGCATAAAATTGACAGGGTGCTAAGCTGGGGATCCTTGGGGTACAGGCTTAGGCCACACACATACAGATCCTCTTCTCCCAGTGCTACTTCTAGGTTGGCCAGGGCAATTTCCTGAACTCTCTTTTTCTCAATCCTCCTCAACAGCAAAAGGGAACAAGCTACTAATCTTTCTTCCTCTGAAGGTCCCTTGTGTACTTGCATTTTGTTGCATTCAAGTAGCAACAAGGAAAAACAAACACATCAATTCTGGTGCGCCAACATGTCCACATAAGGAAATGTACACATGCTTTGCATTGAATTCATACACGCCCAGGCCCCCTTTCTACAGACATTAAATATCCAAATTTCTTTGAAGTAATGGTAAATAAGATGTAAATTTAACCATCACATACGTTCATGCAAAACACCAACATGCATCACATAGCAACCCGTGCCCGGTCTTACAAACAGATCGCATCGTGCCTAGGATCACGAGAAAGTTCAGACATCCTCTCTTAAGATATACAACGGAGCTTTCTCTTCGCTATAAGATTCCAGGGCCGGAACCTCAGCCTGTTGCTGACATGTCAGGGCTGCCCGGGAGAAAAGCAGAACATCTTGGATTTCATTCAAATGTCAACAATAAGCAAGCGCAGGAATTTAGTTGATTTCAGGTAACTTCTCTGGCCAGTCCCTTCCGCGTCCCATGCCCGATGTACACATCTTGCAAAGGGAGTCTCTTTCGAACCCCCTCCCCTGGGCCGCATTGGCCCCGGTGTCACTTAGAGACCTTTCCCAGAGGTCTCTGGGTGGGAGCAGCGTCGGGCAGGACCAGAGGTGTGGGCCCCCAGCCCACCGCCGACTTGCCGGGCTGGAGAACTTTACGAAGCGCCCCAAACCTGCTTCCACCCTCAACCATTTCTCTTCTCCCCTCACAAAGAGCGGGGCGACTGAGCAAGCCGTCGCCACCTGCCGCCGGATCCCGGGGCGCTGCCTCTGGCACCCCCGGGGAAAGGCAGGCCAATGGAAAGAGGGCAGAGGTTCACACTCCCACCCCTAAACCTCACAGCGCTTTGCTGCCCGGAGGTGGCTCCACAGCCCGAGGGAACCGACGCCCCCGGGCCGGCTGCCTGCTCCCCCTGCTCCCCCACGGCGCCGGCCCCACCCCCAATCCTTCCGGCGCCCCAGCGCCCACCCACCCGGGCGCGGGAGTGGGAGGGTGCCGCGTGGGCAGCTGGAGCAACAGGCGTGGGAGCAGCACTCCTCGCACTTCCTGGCTCCAGAAGGCTCGGTCGCGTCCCTCTTACCTTCAGCGAAGCAAGCCCCGGGCCCCGCGCCCCGCGCCCCGCGCGCGCTAGGAAGCTGCGGCCCGGAGCCGGGGGCCGCGGAGGCGCCGAGCGCCCAGCAGCGCGGGGAAGCGCCCAGCCACCGCCGCTCGAGCGGCTCCTCCTCGCCGGCGAAGTCTCGCTCGCTCCCTCCCTCGCTCGGTCCGTTTGTGCGTTTGTCTGTCCGTGGGGTCCTCCTTCCCCCGCCGCCGCCGCCGCCGCCGCTCCAGCCCCGGCTCGGCACCGCGTCCTCTCCCCGCCTCGCCGCTCCGCTCGCGGGCTCGCGGGCTCCCTCGCTCGCTCCCTGCCCCCGCCGCTGCCGGCGCCGCGCGGAGCGGAGCCCGGCGGGCCACAGGCTGCCCGGCGAGGTCCCTCTCCCGAAGCGGGGGGGGTGGGGGGGGGGCAGTGGGGGCGCGACGCGGGCGGGGCGCAGAGGAGAGTCCGGGGGAGGCGGCGAGGCTGCGCCCTCGGCTCCCTGCGGATCCCGGCCGGCCGAGCGGCTCCAGGCCTGGTCCGGGAGTGCGGGGCCGCCAGGCAGCGGAGGGAGAGATGAGGAGGACCCGGAGGCTCGCCGCGGGAGGGTGCCCAGGGCGAGGGCGTGCGAGGGGGAGTGACTCCCTGCGCGAGGGCGTGTGAGAGTGTGTGTGTGTGTGTGTGTGCGCGTAGAGGGGCGCGCGCGTGAGCTGGGGGTGGGGGGCGGGGAGACGAGGCAGAGCCTGGTGCGTCTCCCCGGGCGAGTGGAGGAATCCTAGGGTGTGCCTGGAGGTGGCGGAGTGTGCCGACGCGGGTGTGAGCGCGTGTGCCGGCGAGGGTGGGCACGGGGTGAGTGTGGCAAGGTGAGCTCAGCTTGGGGGTGAGGACGGAGCGGGGAGTACGGCGTGAGTGTGAGATTGAGGGCGTGTATGCTGGGGACCCGGGGAGAGGTGGCAGGGAGCGCCAGTGTGTGCGCGCGTGGGGTGTGTGTGGACCGAGCTGGGTGTCTCTTTCACACCGACTGTCCACGCGACACCAGCACTTGCTTGCGGCGGAGCCCGGCCACCTGGCACGGTGGAACCCGCCACGGCGAAAGCTTTCCGGCTTGCCGCGTCTCTCGGCTTCGTGTGCCTGGGCTGGAGAGGTCCCAGGGGGGACACACACTGCCCTTGCCCCACGTAAGAGCCGCTCTCCTCCCAGAGCGCGAGGGGCACGACCCGAAGGTAGGGATTCGCTCTCCTATGCTTCCACGTGTACCCAGTACCCAGATCCGAGTGTCTGGACTTGGGAGTGTGAACTCTCAACCAGAGTCCGCCCAGTCGTTCGGTCGCTGCCCCGAAACCCATGGATACCCACTGCGCGGTGCCTCGGCCCGGAATGGGGAGCGGGCGGTCAGCACGTGCCCACACGGCCGGCCGGGCAGATGGAGCCCCGGAGCATCCCCGGAGAGTGGTATCCGGTCCAGACTCCCGCACTCCCGGCCGCGGCGCGCTGAGGGTTCAGTCTCCGCAGACCGTGCCGACCGGCGGCTCCAGCTTTCCCCGTGTCTCCGGCTTCTGTGCCCGGAATCCCAGGATCTCGGCCTGGCGCTCGGGCGGCGAGGCGGCTCCGCGCCTCAGCAGGGACCGGAACGCAGGGCTTCAGCGATCACAGTTCTGGGTGTGGAGAGGTGTGTGCCTGAGACAGAGACCCAGAGAAAAGCAAACTGTGCGGTGAAGGGGAGGGTGTGCTTGAAAGGGTAGTTTTAGCTCAAGCTGGAAAAAGACCTCTCCGAGTCCAAACAGGGCTTCTAGCTCCTGAGAACCCCAGCCCTGTTCCAGAATAAGGGGTGGAGGGTCAGTCATTGTGGCCTAAGCCCCTTTGGGCCCTGGCAGCTGGGGTCCCCTCATTCACTCACTCCTCCCACTCTCCCCAAAACCCCTTCAGCGTGTTAGTCTGAAAGGTGTACACTTGGCTCTTCAAGAGGTGGGCGTGGGCTCCATCAGCATTTGCCAGGAGTCCCAGAGCAGTGTGGTATTTGCATACTGATTTGCATACGGTAATAATGATTAACAACACTGCCACTCCCTGGCAGACAAGGGAAGGATTCAGGGAAGGCCCTGGCGCTGCTCCCACCTCCCTCCTCTCTTCCCTCCAGGGAAGAGCTAAGTTCCTCACAACTGCCATCTCGACTACTTTGACCCCTAGGAGGGCCTCAGACTCTGGGTGGGCAGGTCCAGGGAGAGGCCCTCTCCTTCCCTCCTCTACCCCATGTCCAACTTGGGAGAGTTCGAAGCCAGTGTTTTATTTCTGCCCGTGTTTGAACTCCTGTACGTTCCCACCTTTGTTTTGCATCTTGGTGTGTAGCTCAGGGGCTGGGTCTGCCCCAAAGCTTGGAGGCTTCCGGGAACAAACTTGGAGCCTTCCTCCTCTCTGAGACAACTGTGCTCTCCTGTGCCTTGTGAGCCCTATTTGAAGACAGGACACTGATTCAGATATTCCCCCCCCACCCCTAACCCCCCCCACACACACACCTGGCCCCCATTCCTCCCAGGCTCACCTCTCATCATTTAAGTGAAGTAGCTGTAGACTCTTTTCTCCCTTCTGTCTAGAAGATCTAGAGGAAAATATGAAAGACCTGAATTCTAGTCTAGTCTAGTGTGGTACTTATTTACCAACCCTTCTCACAACCAGGTGACCTGGAAAATAAGAGAGTGCAAGTGATGGGCACAAAGGAGGCCCCTTGACTCCAGCAGCAGGAGAACCCACAGCCCCTGGGAGATGCTGCCCCTCCCACCAGCTCCCCACCCTCCGTAGCATCTTTCCAGCGCTGCCTGGCCTCGCCTTCCCCCTCTCTGCCTCTGGCCTGGCCTGGCTGGGATTTTCACTTGCTTTTCCCCCATGACACGGCCGCTTTTCCTTTAACTCTCAGCTTCTATTTAAAAAGCTAATTTGGGAGCTTGTCGATGCTCCCAATTCAGACATTTTAAATAGGAACTGAAAGTCAGGAGCTGGCAGGGCACTAGATTGCCTCCCCTTGCTACCAGCACAGCTAAAGCATTTGTTCAGTCACTCCACTGGCCCTGGCCGTGTGTGTGTGTGTGTGTGTGTGTGTGTGTGTGTGTGTGTGTGAAAGAGAGAGCGTGAACGTGCCAGCTTACGGCATATTTCAGGCTATCTTTTCTATTTAAAGATGGGGCTCCTATGGATGACTGTTCTCTGCGCGTGTGCATCCTTTCCAGGCTGTGCACACATGAGGATTCTTCTTTAGTCCCGTGGCTCCAGCCGCTGTTTGCAGAGCTTGTCACTGTGCGGACTGTGAGGGTGAGAGGCAGCCCAGCTCCAAGTCTGCAGCCTCTTTGCTGACACGCCAGGCTGGTGTGTCTGCACGGCTCTTTCCCAGGGCTGCTGCGTTCAGGCTTGCTCCTTGAAGCTGTGCCTCAGAGTGTCCTTAAGGGTTGCTCTGCTTGTGGCTGTTCTACTTCAGCAGCTTGCCCCTCCTGGGGCAGGAATTTGGAGGGTGAGGCTGCACCTCTGAGTGTTGCAGGCTTTCTAAATTCAATGTTCTGTGTACCGTGGAAGTAGAAAGCACAGACTTGGAGGTCAGACGGCCTGGGTTTGAACCTGCCTCTGCTATTTACTAGCTGTGTGATCTTGAGGAAGCTAGTTAACTTCTCTGTGCCTTGACTTCTTCATCTCTAAAATGGCAATAAATAGTAGTGTCTACTTTGTAGGGTCTTGTGAAGATAATTAACACAGATAAAGCACTTAGAACAGTGCCTGGAACATAGGAAGTACAATATAATTGTTGGTTGTTGTTGTTGTTCAAGGTGGGAGTGGTGCAAGCAGCCTGCCTGGGGAGGAAGGTAGAACTGCTGGATTGTACACAGAGACACAGGCAGACACACACCTCCATGCATGTAACAAAAATGCCGGGCCACAGCCCACAGTGGGTCACGTTCCCCTTGTTGAGATAGTTGATTCTCTAAGCCCCAGAAGGGGGAGACTTCTGATGAAGGGAGAGAGGAAGAGCCACAGGGATGGGGATGAGGAAGGGGCTGGACCGTGTCGGAAGCCCGTGGGGCATGTCTAGGGGGCCAATTTTATGCTGGAGAAGTAAGTTCAAGAACCCTCAGTGCCTGTGGACACAGCCTCCCGTATTTACCTAACCACGTAAAGCCAGACTTTGTCAAAGTGGAGCTCCAGTGAGGACTCAGGAGGGGTGCCCCTCATTCTCCCTGAGTCTCTCCTTGGGCTTGGGGTTCTCTCACTTTGATCTTGCTCTTGCCTCCTGTCCTTATTCCTACAGCTGGGCATATGAGCATTTACTCGGCAGCCATCAGAGTTCATTTTGCCTTCCTCCCTGAGCATCTAATCAAGGCACAGAGAGGTTAAATGGCTTCCCCAAGGTCACACAGCCAGGGACTTAGGAGGCCACTAACAAGAAGGAGAGCAATAAAGGACTGAGAATAGGAAGGCTGTCCAAGGGATCCAAACAACATTGTAAGTCATTGGATTGTATCAGGCTATTATCCACTTCAGTTGAGGAGCCACCATATGCTGGACTCCTTGTTCGGTCTCCAGTAATCCTGCACTGGAGGTATTATCACCATTTTTTTAAAAAAAAGAATGCCTTTATTTATTTATTTATTTATTAGGAAGATTAGCCCTGAGCTAACTGCTGCCAATCCTCCTCTTTTTGCTGAGGAAGACTGGCCGTGAGCTAACATCCATGCCCACCTTCCTCTACTTTATATGTGGGACGCCTACCACAGCATGGCTTGCCAAGCAGTGCCATGTCTGCACCCGGGATCCGAACCGGGGAACCCCGGGCTACGGAAGCGG